TGACAGCGGGGTCAGAGGGACCCACCGTGACAGCGGGGTCAGAGGGACCCACCGTGACAGCGGGGTCAGAGGGACCCACATGGCAGTGGGGTCAGAGGGACCCACCGTGACAGCGGGGTCAGAGGGACCCACATGGCAGCGGGGTCAGAGGGACCCACCGTGACCACGGGGTCAGAGGGACCCACATGGCAGGGGGTCAGGGGGACCCACCGTGACAGCGGGGTCAGAGGGACCCATCATGGCAGTGGGGTCAGAGGGACCCACCGTGACAGCGGGGTCAGAGGGACCCACATGGCAGGAGGGTCAGAGGGACCCACATGGCAGCGGGGTCAGAGGGACCCACATGGCAGGAGGGTCAGAGGGACCCACATGACAGCGGGGTCAGAGGGACCCACCATGACAGCGGGGTCAGAGGGACCCACCGTGACAGAGGGGTCAGAGGGACCCACCGTAACAGAGGGGTCAGAGGGACCCACCGTAACAGAGGAGTCAGAGGGACCCACCATGGCAGCGGGGTCAGAGGGACCCATCATGACAGGTCAGGAGGGGCTGTCATATGACAATCCAGTGTGGAGGAGAGTCATGTGTGCAGAGACACACAAAGGCCCTGGGCATAAAGGACAGTCTTTCCAGGGTGCTGACATGCCCTGGAGTACACTGTGATTACAAAGAGAGGTAGGGCCTCTGCTCTGGATTCCTCTGAAACCTGGAAACCTGTGAGCAAAGCCAGCCTCCCCACTTAATCCCCCTGCAGCCTTGGGGGAGCTGGTCTCAGCGCCTTCACCACGCCTCACAGGGCTCCAGGGAGGAAGAAGTAAGTTATACATTCGAGGAAAGGTCCACGGAAAGTGCCAAGCAAACGGAAGCCACGACTCTCGTTCTGCTGACACTAGGGATGGCAGTCAGTCATGTCTTCACAGCGACAGAGCCAAAGCTAGCTGGAAAAGTCCTCAGGGACACCAAACACATATGTCATCAGAGTCACCCCTCAAACTGGGCACCCAGTTAGAGAAGAAACAAATGTAAGTTTTGGGAATGAAGTGGCTTGTTCAGCCATTAAGTTTCTGGGCCAGGGTGTGAACTCATGTCCTTTTCGTTGTGTGGTTTTGAGGCAGGGTCTAACACAGCCTAGAAAGGCTTCCAACTCACTAAGTGATCCAGGCTAGCCTTGAAATCCTGATCCACCTGCCTCAGCCCACCAGTGTATGGAGATTACAGGCGTGAGCCACTGCACCCAAATTTGCCCTTCTGACTTCAAAATCTTCATGGTACCCACTCCATCCACCTCTCTGCCTGCATTCGACCCCTAGGCATCTCTCTCCTTGGCTTTGGAGGCCAATCCCAGCTTGAACAAGGCCCCCCCCCCCCCTTGCACAGAGTGACAGAGCAGAAGGCGGGATGGTTAAGCCTACCACAAATAACAGATGCACCTACTTGCCCGGTACTGGATGCCCAGGGCTGCCAGGCAGGCCACCAACCCTGCTGCCAGAAGTGCCACCAGCACTACCAGCTGCTTCTCCACTGAGGTCCGAGCCGCCCAGCACCTCTGGCCACTCCGGGGACTTCGGAAGTTCACCTGTGGGGAAGGAGGCACGTCTGTGAGCTCAGGGCCCCGCTTCCCCAAGAGGAAGGGGCTCGGCTGCAGGCCCAGGCCCCGGGGAGGCATCAGGCTCTCTCAGGGGTGGTCCAGTTCCCACGGAGTCTGCCCTAATCCAGGAACAGAACCACCACCCTGGCCCGTAGCGTAGATTTGCTCCCAGACATCAGAACTCGCAGCTCAGCCCAGAAGGACTTGTGTTGTCTGTGACACCCGATACCGGTAGATGAAAAAAATCTACAGCTTTCCCATTTCTCCAGTAAGGAGCTCAAAAAAGAACAGGATGTTTGGACTTGAAGGCATTCAGAGGGCGGCCAGCTGGGCCCTCCTCAGAGCTCCTGCATCTACAGAGCCAGAGGCGAGCATGACATGACCTCACAGGGCTCTTGCTTTTTGCAAGTGGGGACACATTCGGCTGGTTAAGCCTCTCTAATCCTATCAGGGATGCCTAGTGGCCTCTCCTTTTTCACATGAAGAAACCGAGGTTCCCGGTCACTTGTCACGCAGCTGAGTGGGTAGGTTTGAGATTTGAAGTAGTGTTCGGAGATTCTAGAGTCCACCAACGGGCCAGAGACATGGGTCTTAGGAGATGGTGGGGGAAGACAGAGGAGAAACAGCTCCATTTGAGCAGATCTTCTAAGGGAGGAGAAATGTGCCAGGCCCCCCCAGTCTGGCTAAACAGGAAAGGAGGCACAATGAGGGGAAATGGAGGGTGTGGCAGAGGACTTGAGGAGGACATGCCTGCCAACAGCACTCAGGACCCTCAGCTCACGCTCTTCTTCACACCCAAAGCCAGCACAGGGGTGGGGGTGGGGGTGGGAGATGGGGAGGTCTCTTCTGTTCCAAGAGGTACTTCCTGCAAAAGTCAGGAGGGGCACAGACAGGAAGAGTCCCCAGAAGGTGGGGCTGTTCAGTGACGTCACCCTGTACAAACAGCTGGGCACCAACTCAAGGGGGGGAAATGGATTCCTTTGCTTTCAACTGCTAACAGCCAAGAGGGGAGGCAGATAATGAACAGATGGGTGGACATGGACGGCTTCCTGGAGCAGTGATGTCTGAGTTAGGGATAGAGAAATGAAAGAGAGGACTAGGGCACAAGGCACAGCTTTGAGAAAGAACAGGAACTTCCTCCGAAGGGCCGGTAAGAGATGTCACTACACCGGCCCTTTGGGGTGGACAAGGCAGAGGAAGTAACTTGCAGGGAACTAGAGAGGAGCAATAGGAGTTCCTAAGAAGTCCCCAGCATCCCAGGGGACCTAGGGATGCCCAACTCTGTCTCACTGAGTCCTCCCACAGCTGTGTAGGGACAGCCCCCAGAGCAGGTCAGAGCCCAGGAAACATCCCACGACCGGCACATGAGATCTGAGATGGGTCACCTTAGGAAGGGCATCTGAGCCATCCTGGGGTACCCCCGGGGTGCTAAAAGAGAAAGAGGAACATGGGGACTTCTTAAGGAAGAAAAACGGGGGTCTAAAACTGAAAAAGGGATGCTGAGAACTGGGACACTCCGTGACTGTGTGTGCGGGACAAGAGGTGTGCACCCCACAGTGGTGGCCAGGTGGTAGTGGGGGGGCCAAGGGGTGGTGAGGGCTGCCTGAGGAGACCCTCTCAGCTTTCTTAAAGAGGAAGAGGTAGAGGATTCTGACCAGGGCGCTCTCACCTGTTCGGAGATAGCCCGGGACATGTGCTCCCGTGGACACTTTCGGTCATCAGCCATCTCATTCAGGTTTACCCCGGGTTCTAGTACACAGAGAAGCCCCAAGGTCTTCAGCCAGGTGCAGCCTTGCCCCAGGGACACTGACATCAATGTCCCTTCTCCTGGCTTATCTCAACTTTCCTCTTCCACCTCGTGGCCTCTCCTGCCCCGTGGCCAAGGCTCGGTTAACGGAGCACAGAGGCAGGGAGAGCCCAGTCTAAGAGGCCTCCTCTGCCAACTCTGGGAAGCTGGGGGGACAGACTGTTGAGTTTGGGGGGACAGCAGGGAAATGCCACCTCATCGGGACACCAAAGTGTTGTGGTGAGGGGAACGGGAGACAGCCAGGTGCAAAGACACCAAGGCGGTGAGGGAGAAGGAAGGAGGGGGCGGCAGATTAAAAACAAATGGAGAGCCACTTAGAAATGTTTGGGAGCTGACATTTTTGCGCCTGGCACTCAGTTGTTCTGTCTTGTGGATTGGTGGGGAGCTCCCAAGCACGGGCACTACTGTGGGCTCCAGAGGAGAGGCAGCTTGTGGGGGCTCATGGGGCCGAAGCGGGAGGGCAACACCAGAGGAGCCATCTCTCTAGATCATGCGGTCCTGTCCACGAGGTCCTGTCCATGAGGTGCCCCCCACACCCCCCGAAAGAGAAGACAGGCAGGCTGGAGCATCATTGTTCCATGTCAAGCTAAGTGTTTAAACAGATGGCATCCACTGTGGATTAAATTAGAATTAAGTCAGAATTGAATTAAAAAGCCACAGTTCCAAGCAAGAACGGCAAACAGGGTTTGAAAATAGGATCATTAACTTTGGTCACGTTTATTGCTTGACTTTCAAGGCTGGGCCAAGCACTTCTAGGTTTCTGGACAAGCCTTGCCTCTGAGGGCAGGGGGAATTCGGAGCGGCTCCTGGGGGCGAGTCACCCCGAAGCTCTGGGCTGGGAGCAGGAGAGGCTGGGCAAATCGTGGTACGGTGGACAGGTCTGGGTGGTATTAGGGTACCGCGGTCCCTTTTCTCTAAGCCCCCAGTACACGTGCCCTGAAGTGGATCCCATGAGATGAGGAAGACAAGAAGGAAATATGTAAGTGTTTTCACACTTTCTTTTAGAAACTAGGACATGCCAATCATAGGAGACCACGCTGTGGCCACTTGGAAGGCAGGAGGATTAGTGGCAGGCAGCCCAATCCATTTTGGGAGAGGTGACTGGGGAGTGGCTGCTGGCCAGGTAACAGAGATGATCCCTCCAAGACAGAGCGTTAAAGTCACTGTGGCCTCTCAGGCCTCTGGCGGACTGAGCATCCTATTTAAACATTGTGAGGTAGAGACAGAAAGAGAGCAGGAGAAACAGGGATGCCCTCCCAAGAGAGAAGGGGAGGGAGAGGAGGACCAGGGAGAGGAAAGGGACTCCAGACGGCAGCAGAAAGGGAGGGACCGAGTGGGAGGGAGAGAGCGGAGGTGTCCAGCCCTGGGGTTCCCAGGGTTTGCAGAGCACAGCAACAAAGCCTATTATAAGCGGGGATAAATATTCGGTTACAGAAGTGAGTGCCTGTCTCACCTAGGCTTGTCGCAAGATCGAGTTCTACAGGGTGAGGATGGGTGCCTGCCCCAGGGCCCGGGGGAAGAGCCGGCTGCAGGGGTGGGAACCGGGCTGGGCCTGCTCTCGGAGTCTACAGGCCCCCAGTAACCTGGCTTCAGAGAGCAGCAACAGGGGCTGTGTGCCAACGCTCTGGCAGGGAGCCCACCGCTTCCAGCCAGAGGCCCAGCGGTGTGGCGGCTGGCAGGACGACCAGGCTCTCTGTCTGGGACTCGGCCTTTCAGAGCAGGCGGACCATGACAGCTCAGCCTCACGGGGGTGGGGTGTGTGTGTGTGTGTGTGTGTGCCTCCGTGTGGGGGGGATCATTTCGGGGAAGTTCCTTCCAGTAAAGTTTCCATGAGGTAGACTTCTGGCTGAGGCCGCTGAGGTCAGCTCTGAGCAGAACTATGATGTCTTCCCAACTCTGCCCGAGTCCCACCTGCCACATGCTCCTCCACGCCTGACCTTGAAGACACTGGTGACAGCTTAGTAGGCCCTCCTGTGGGAGTGGACTCCAGAAGAATCAACCTTTAAGAGGAATCAGTCTCAGGGAATGTGTGTCTTCCCAGAAGGAATAGGCAGCTCTCCAGCATGAGGGAAAAGAGATCATCCAGGACCCCAGGGGTGTGCCAAGGCAGCCTCTGAGCCTGTCTCCCAACTCCAATACTAGGAAGCTGGGGTGAAGTCCCCAGGTATGACCATTTTAGATTCTGGACCCTGCTGGCCAAGAGTCTTACTCTGTAACTGGGAGACAAAGCTGAAGGTCCCTCCTGACAAAGGGCAAGTTGTTTGAGAGTCCTAAGTGGGTCTGTCCTTCAAATCGCTCTCCTATGACAGCCCTATGCAGAGGGTGGTATATTAGGGTTCTGAGATCTTTCCTTTGGCTTATTTTCTCCTCCAGAAGTAATTGGATGTTTTTCAAATGTTTTGGTAGACAGCTGCAGACAGTCTCCTAAGCTGGCTGCAGGTGTAATCTTAATTATTTTCCTTCAAGCTACTGCAATCAGTGTGTGTGTGTGTGTGTGTGTGTGTGTGTGTGTGTGTGTGTGTGTGTGTGTGTG